CAACTTTGGAACATAGATGCGTTCAGCAGTAGACGTCTTGGAACGAGTTGTTGGACGTCGGCAAGCCCAATCAGCAGGATTCGACGTGCGAACCATTCCCGGCAAGAGCACAGGAAATCACCCTACGACGCTCCAGGCAACGCTATGTACACACGCATTCCGCTTGTAAGCCGTTGTCTTGCAGAGTGAAAGTAATCGTGGTTGCAATGGTTGCAATAATCACGCGTCTCTAGCTTAATAACCATTTCGAGTGACGAAAGTGGTATATTCTCTGCGAATGCGGACAACGATGCCAAATGCAGGGAGACATTTCGCGGACCGCTTGATCGCGGGAACTGTCTTTAATATAGCGAAGACCAAAGTCCAGCCACTGTGAAAGATGCCAAGACCTCTCGTCTTGATATTTAAACTTCATTAAATTCAGAAGATACATTTCTCTATCAGAGGCACCTACCTTGTGGAAGAAAGACCAGCAGTAATGTCCGATTTAATGCGTAATTTCACAGACTCAGGAATCTGAAGCATAGCGACCGGCGTTCCAAACATTGCCGGATCATAGACCAGAGGAAGCGCTAAAGAAAGTCACTTATATCCAGAAATTCCCTATTTGCCCATTCAAATTACCATACCTCCTGGCATCATCCCGTTCATGAAACTGAATGGGAACCCGTTTAGATTAAGACTGCTCAACTGTGACGGCATTGTGGTTTTGGTTGGTCTGGAAGTGTGATATGTAATGTGAGTGGTGCCTGACATACAAGGACATCAACTACCGTAACCGAAACTGTTACACACCTTGCTGCTGGTGGTGGCCGCCGTTCGCTACCGTTTTCGCTCGGGAACGTGGTTGACGGGGTTTCGGTGGTAGCAGCATCGACCTTGAGTTGCGCTTTCAGGCCGTTCAGATGTTGCAGGGAGAACAGATGGTCCTGGAGCGTTATTCGTCCACCGTATTCCACAGAGCACATTGTACAAGATGTAGATGTCGAACGAGTCGCCTCTTCTTCACCTAAATTAAGACTTTAATAATTATCGGCACCTGGAAACCATGTATCTCCTTACGTTGGTAGGGTGACCCGTCGTGGATAGCGCCTTTGATTGAGCAAGCACTTACCGCTAGCTGTTCGCGTCTTCCGTTCCTTGGCTCGAGCATTCTGGAACCACACTTGGACCACTCGCTTGTGCAGACCGATCTCTCGACCCAGTGCTTCGCATTCCGTCATCGACGGAGAGTCTTGTAAATCACCGAACACCGCTTCTTCATCACTCGTAAAGCTCCTCTTGAATGGAGGTTTTGTTACTGCAAATGATCATTCGAGGCCTCTGTCAGCAAAAACAAACAATTTTCGCTGGCCAATTTCTTGAGGCAGTACTACTGTAACAAAAGAAAACGAATACAAGGCATGTACACTTTATATCCCGGAGATGGGGAGGGCGCGGCTGCGTATTTCATTTGAATGTGGTAGTGGCTGCGCTTCTGGTGAGATACATTCATTCTGGTACAATGTGGTGAGATACTTTCATTCTGGGACACTTGTAGTCAGTCCTTTCCAACACAAGAGCGGATGATAGTCTTCTCAAATGTGAATATCTCATGCTCTGTTCGAACACAGCACGCCACGCCCTCTCAATTTCCTGGATATAGATTGTACATGTTTTGCTGATCTGGAGTGCAGCGGGGTTTCAAGTTTCTTGTCGCTCAAGCCGCATTGCGACCGCATGCGCCCGAGACTGGCTGCTTCATCCGCTTGACAGACATCTCATATGATCGAAATGAAAGAGTTCCCTGCGAGTGGCTCCCCGGGGGAGCGCAGTTCCGCCGGCCCAGAGAGGCTCCCGCCCCAGGATAGCTCCCTCGACGGAATGAAGCAGGATTGCCCCTGCACTGGACTCGAATTTTCACTGATGCTCCGGTATCGCTGGAAGAAGGCCTCAGATTTGTGCAGGAAGTCCTTGGCATGGGGAGCTTTTCGACGTCGGAGCAACTCCCTGACTCTCAGGCCTTCGCACTCCCATTTAAATTAACTTTGCGAGTCCAAACTCACATGAACTTGAGTGGGTGTGAGATGAGTACGGTAGCGCTTGTTACTGGTTGGTGATCGAGACTGTGACGAGCCACCAGCATAAGAGGCAGAAGTTTCCTCAATGAACTCCGTTGGATCATCATCCGATTGGCCAAGGAACGGCGACATTGATAGCGTGTCACGTCTGCAAGAACATTTAATTGGTAAGGTTACCGTAGCCGTGATAAATCTCAATGAAAACTCACTCTTGAGACGCATTGCTCAGATCAAGCGCACCGGCAAGGTCTTTGGTCTCGGTGGTGTTGGTGGGAGGAATGAGTACAGGAACCTGAAGAGGAACCGAGATATTCTGTCGAGGGCCAACCGTAGACGACGTCGTGACGCTTACATCTTCTGCATTTGGCAGGAGATCGATATCGACTGGGGTCACCGAATGTTGTTGTGGATGCCGTGCAGGAATGTGCTCTTGAAGTGACTGACGGCTTCGGAACAACAGGCCACAAAACGGGCATCGCTTGTGAAACGTGGACGATGGTGGGGTGTTCGCCGATTCGCACTGAAAGTATAACGGACTTCAAAAATCCCGAAAGACTGGATGGAAGTTCCTTACCAGTTTCAGAAGCGCTTCAGTGCTCGATTTACTCGCACCGAGGAGTTTCGCTAGATCGGCCGGCTTTGCATCGTTGATGCTGGCGAGAGCTGTCTGCTGGATGAGCTGCGCCTTCTCCTCGTCCGTGAGTGATTCCTCAACGACCTGAAAGCACGAGCATTAAGCCAGCTTCGTTCCCCCCAAAAATACATACAAACCACAACCGACCTTGTTATCATTCGCCTGCGCCTGACAATCATCTTTATAGCACTTTTTCTGTTGGTGTTGTATGAGCTCATAATAACGTTGGAAGACTAGACTGCACCTGAAAAAGTAGCGCTTCAGGGGATCGTTATGTCGGATAAAGGGATATTACACAACATTGATCACCCTCAGAAATGCGCTGTGCAAATGAGATCCATTTCATGAGAATCAGATGGGCGGAGACTCACAAATATTAGGTCTTCCTCATTAGTGCACCCCTTCACCTTCCTCATTAATAAGCGTTCCCAAGACAGCAGATAGAGAACTGCCCTACTCTATCCACGCAGAATAATCATGAGCCAGTTGCTCGGTGACAAAGGTTGATGGCTGACTTGATCTGGATGGGACCTTGCAGATGCCATGTCTCATCAGCTCTGCCTGATTTCAGATTTAAAGACATATTCTGTAACTGCCTAGTGTCCGCTGTCTCCCTCATAGATGCCTTCTCACGGTATTGGAAGGAAGAAAGCGCCATTGATTGTTAGCTCCACCCACCTGTTCACCGCGGAATTCACCTTGAGGCAGGTTCTATTTGAAGCTCACACTACTTCTCTCTACTACACTTCTAATAAAATTCATGCATCGACCTACCGTTTACACTGAAAGTTACATCCTGGCGTACGTACAAATCGATCGGCATTCTCGTGATTTGGCTGATTTTCATAGATCTTTCGAGCCTCAAAATTGCCAATTCGAGAAAACATACTTTTAAAATTGTCCGTAAAAGCAGT